GCTTTGAGTGGAGTGTCCAGAAAAGTGCTATGTAAGTGTAAGTAATTATTATTATTGATATGGAAAGAAAAGAGTTAAAGAGGAAGACAGTAACAGTCAGCAGGGAGATATACCTTTGTCGTGCGTAGAGGACAATGAGGATGACACAGCTGATGGAGGTGACAGCACAGCCAAAGTACGTCACCCAAGTCAAGGCCACAAGATGCTGCACCGGCCCCTCGTTTATTTCCTGTCAGACATGAAAAAATGACAGTCGGAAAAGAAAATTGAATATTTTGTGCGGTTCGGGATGAGTGTTCATCCAGAGACCTCAAGATCCTTCTACTGTTACGGAAATTGTTGATTTGTTTTCAGACAAACAAACTCACATAAGGATGAAATCTCTTTAGAGATTTTAAGGAAGATCACTTTATTGGATATATATATAATTTCTTGAATAAGGAATTTGTCTTTTCGCATATCCCAGCTTGCTCTCCATGAGACACACAGACAGGGAGAGAAGCTTGGGGTCAGAGCGCAGGGTCAGCCATTTATAGGGTGTCCCTGGAGCAGTTGGGGTGAAGGGCTTTGCTCAGGGGCCCAAGACAGTAGGATTCCTCTGCCGGCTGCAAGATACGAACCAGCAACCTTCCAGCCACAGGCGCAGATCCTTAGCCACAGAGCCACCCCATTTTAAAGGGTCTTTCAGTGTTAGTGGGTTACACAGGTAAAGAACTGTGTACTGACCAGCAGAACTGCAAAATAGGTGAGATGATTGCAATGGCATTCAGTTTCCTCCTTGGACTTCTCTTTTGTTACACACCCAAAATCATTCCAGGTGTCTTCTTTTACTGTGTTAGGAAACAGAATTATTATTATTTATTATTATTATTAATATTATTATTATTATTATTACTACTACTACTACTTCAAACCTGAGTATCACATGCCTTTGAACCATTTCCATGGCTGAAGTGTCATGATCATTTTCTTTCATCTAAAATTAATAATGTGGTAAATAATTATTATTATTTAACTAAGCTCCCCACAATTGTGAGGCGCTCTAAGAGATTTGGTAGGAGCAGGCAGTGAAAGCCATTGATACTATATTGAATAGAATAGAAGTTTCACCTCAAATAATCTGCATTTTAAAATGTATTAGGTCCGATCAGGCCACCAGATTGTCATGAAGCACATACAGTATAATGCACTGCATAGCTCAGCACAATTCACTTTCCACATGAATCATGAGTAAATTCAAAATAAATGGAGAACTAAAAGACAAGAAAGCTCTTGTTCTCCAGCGTGGCTAATGGCCAGTTCAATAGGAAGAGCACGTTGAGAAGAAGCAGGGCCACTGTGAAATTACAGTGGACCAGTGC